TTGGAGGATCTTTCAACAGCAGTGACACTTAAGCTAACTCTGGTTGGTTCTGCAACGGTATACCATTTCTGGATCTTCTTACCTTGAAATCCTTAGATTCCAAAATGAAACAAAAGATATTTCCAGAAGATGAGATCAGAAGGCATTCAGTCAGAGTAAAGGACAAACAGGAACAATGCTGTTGCCACTGATGCAACTAGATCAAAACCAAAGGGCTGTCTAGTGGCTTACTTCCACAGAAGCAAAAGGATAGTCCAGTGCTGCACAACTGGAACAAAAACAATTGCACATACAATTTGAGCATGGAACAAAAAACTATGAATGACGGCAAACTGGAAACCTAGAGATGGAATGGTTAAAAATCACAATAGTTGGTGTGAGTGAAATAAAGTAGACTGGAATGGAACATTTTCAGTCAGAAAACCACAAAATGTTTTACTTTGGGAATGACAAACTCAGAAGAAACAAACTCTAACAGTGAAGCATATCTCTGAATAGGAAATGATGAGTGCACAATGTGACGCTCACCCAAGCAGCAGTTTCACTAGATCTACACCATGCAGCTCCCCCCACCCCTGCCAAGACCCCAGGCTGAGTGACCTCCTAAGACTAAAAATAACAAAGTCAGCTGTTCCTACCACTAATATAATACACAATACCAACATAGCCTTCTCTCCCAGCAGAGTAGAGCAATAAATCTGGACAGAGCCTCCCACAGCAACAGGGAACCTCTCCAGAAAGAGGAACCCCTCTTTCCTTCAGCTCCCTATTTTTATGCAGTTGGGTCAAAAAGATGACTCACAGGGTGACATCTCCTGACAGTACCCAGGTGAAAATCATATAACCTTTAGGCCTGCGATCTAATGCCTTGAATGGCTCTGTCCTTGGAAGGCATTTAGAGCATTTTGCATTGCCATTGCTATCAAGTCCTCCACAGCCTTGGCCCCGGGTTTTCCATGAGGTGCCACCTGGCCAAGATGGCCTGGCTTTCATGCCAGAGTTAACCTTTCTGTTCTTGAAAGGCCTTTAACTGGTTCTTTGTTACACACAATAAATGCATTGCATACAAAAGTCCAGGAATGCATGCTTAAATAAATTCTTGGAAAAATGGTTACATGCAACACACATACATACATAGGCTATTATCATTGTGACTCACCCATGGATGCACACCTGAATGTGGTGCAGGGGTTTGAGGGGGTCAGAAACACAGGGAGAAATGCCACCAGGAGCTCAAATTCTATCACCAGGCTGGTCTTGCAGCATGGTCAACTGAGGCAGAATGGTCACAACTGATACACCAGACTGAGAGCCATCCACCCTCTTAAGGAGTAAAAGCCACACAAGCAGAAAAGGATGGATATCAGTAATGGTGATGTGGGGAGAGAACCTTCTGAGGAAGCTGCCTATGATCTATGGTAATGATAATCCAAAGTAAGACAAGAGATGGTGCCAGAAGATAAGATTCCTTTGTCAGAAGGCATTCAACCAGTTACTGGAGAAGAGCAAAGGGCAAGTATGAATAGCATTGCTGCTAATGAAGCAGCTAGATCAAAGCCAAAAGGAATAGAGTGGCTGACTTCCACAGAATCTGATACAGCTGGAACATGGAATGGAAGAAGTCTGAATGAAGGCAAACCAGAAACTTTAAAGCAAGAAATGGAACAGATAAACAGGAAAGTAGTTGGCAAACTCAGTAGACTGGAATGGGACATTTTCATTCAGACAACCACAAAGTGTTTTACTCTGGGAATGACAAATCCCGAAGAAATGGAGTGGCTCTAACACTGAGGCAAGATGTGGCACAGGCAATAAGGGGCTTTCACACAAGCCAACTGACAAAATACAACTTTACACCCTTGACAAATTTGAAGTCTACGTAAAGAATAGATCTGAATTATCGAACTCGATTTACCTTGAACCAGAAGAAATGTGGGCCAAAACCAAGGCATCCTTAGGGAAGAATGCAAAAGACAAATGCTATAGCAAAGGAAAAGAGAAGCCTAGATGGATGAAGGAAGAAAGACTCAGAGTTGGTAAGAAACATAGAAACAGAGTGAGTCAGAAGGGGTCACCTGGGCCATCTAGTCTGACCCCCGGCTCCAGCTGGCTCCACTCATGACATGTCCACCATGTGCATGTCCAGCCTATCTTTGAACACCTTCACCCATGGGGCCTCAACCACCTCCCGTGGAAGCCCATTCCACACCCTCGGGTTCCTAACTGTCAGGAAGTGCTGAGAAGCAAAGTAGGATGAGAAACATCCATCCAGGAAGTGCTGAGAAGCAAGAAGAGATGAGAAGCAAAAGCAAAAGGTGGAGAAAGAGGGTCAAACTCTTGAATGCAACTTTTCACTACTACCACAGAGAAATGAAAGGAACTATCACAATGGCCAGTGCACAGAAATAGAAGAGAACAACAAAAGAGGAAAAACAAGAGGCCTTTATGAGAACAAAGGAAGAGAAATTCAGACTTAGATTAGTACCATATTTTCTGGCCAGAATTAAATAAAGAGAAGTTGGAAACAATATATGGAGCAACTATATAGAAAAGAACAAAGGATGATACACTCCTACAAAGAGGAATCACTCCTATGAGGAAGAACCTACAGTTTTAGAACGTGAGGTGGTACCTGCTCTGAAAGCTCTTTGAAGGAATAAAGCACTCAAAATAGATTGGGTACCAATAGAAATATTTCAAACTACAGAGAATGAATTGGTCCAAATCCTAACAAGAATGTGCCAAAAAATATGGAAAACAGAACAATGGCCCATGGATTGGAAATATGCAATACATGTTCCAAATCCCAAGAAAGGAGATGCAGAAGAGTGCAGCAACTAACATGAGAAGCTGAGGACGGTCCTGAAGAAATGGTGGTGCCTCAAGACTTCACCATCCTGAAGTTTAACCTTTGTCATGGATGAGAAGCTACTGTTAGGGCAGAATATGGAGAAACAGAATCGTTTCTTATAGGCAACGGTGTCAGATGGGGCTGCATTTCATCACCCTTTCTGTTCAGTCTGTGCATGGAACGTGTGAGGAAGGAATAAAGAAAAAGAAGGAATAAAATTGGTTGATTACTGACAGAAAGCAGCAATGACTTGAAATGTGCTGGGATCTCAGCAGTAATGATAGAATCAACATGTGTAAGCGTGCTTCACTGGAGATCAAGGCCAAGATCATTCACATTATTGTATTCCTGATCACTATGGTCAGAGTGCTGGTCAGTGAAGAAAGCTGCCAAGAAGAAAATTATTTTCAAATCATTATGTTCAAAACATAGTGCTTCATGAATACCCTGGATGGAAATAGAGATAAACAAGTGAGTCCTAGATCAAATCATGTCAAAACTTGCAATGGAAGGAACATTCACTTTTATTTCATCATGACTATTTTAAAATGTGGTTTGCTTCTGTTTATTTGTTTTGTTCAGGAAAGCCACTTGTCAAGTTGGCTTTCCTAATTCCACTTTAGCCATCCAGGATCAGTCTCTTTAAGATTCTCCAGTAGACAGCGCTTCTGAGGCACCATTATGTTACCTTGGAAAGGTTGGCCCAAGCAGCAAAATTCTTTAAAAATCTTTTTTTTTCAAAATTAATTTTTACTAAAATTTTACTAATATAGTAAAATAGATTTTACTAAAATATAGTAAAATATTGCAATATTTTACTAATTGCAAAAATATTGCAGCCAATCCAATGGCAGGTGACTTTATGAAGATGTGAGTGACAGTGGAGGCTCTGTGGTGGGTGGCTAATGGCCAAATCCATCACGCATTCATGCTGCCCTTCTTGCCCATTGTCGTCTTAAGGGTCTAGGTAAGGATACTGAAAAGTGGGTAGCTCCACTCTTTTGAAGCATTTGACACCTGTCAAACTGATGTGCAAGATGCTTCAGAAGTCCTAAGAGATCCATGTTTGCAACAAAGGGGACTTAAGCACCTTTTGTATCAAAATCCCAGAATTTATTCAGGGAGCCCCTGTCTTCCATGTTTCCCTTCATTTTGTCACTGTTCTTGGGATGCTACTATCTTGGGAACATGCAAAATTAGGGAAGATCCCCTCCCCCCTCCAATGGTTGATTGTTTCCAATTACAACTGAACTGTTATTGGGGATAATAATGCCCCTTATCATCAGGAATTTCCCCTCATTTCACATTTCCTGGGGTGGTATCACCTTAGAAACAATTGTAAAATGTGAGGGCAGTAGGTAGAAATGGGTTATCTCTAAATCCTGTTTCCTGCTGCTAAAGGTGTTTTTGGGCCACCCCCTTTTGTCACCCACTCTGTTCAGCATGTTTTGGATGGGGCTACAAATTTTTTTTTTTTTTTGACAAGCATATGTAACTCAAGAAAGGTATAATTGTTAGATGAGACTACAGAAAGAGCCTCAACTTAGTCATTGAGCACCTGCTCTGTATGCGGCAAGCCTACCAATTATTCCTTGGCACCATTATTGGAGAGGGTCTCAAAAAGCTGAGCTCGGAGAGATGGCAGCAGTCATCTGACTCAGTACAAAGCACCTTTGAAGACTCAGATGATGTAAGCAAGTGAGCAGGTCAGGGTGCAAGATGTGAGCCAAAAGGTCTACCAAATTTTACCTCAGGTTGGTGAATACCTAGGGTGGGTTGAGTGAGGCATCATTCTCAGTACCATCATCTGCAGTCTGGAAATAATAATGCTGCCTTAGTCTGCAGGTTTCTAAGGATTAATGAGAAACTCCTTGACACCATAAAGAACTTTTCACCTGATGGATGGGTGGCCCTATACAATAGATATTACTGATGAGGGATACTTAGAGAATTTTTACACTGAAAATTTTAGTGCATTTCATGGGTGTTAATTACATATTGTATATTGAGACTCATCCTGGGATCATTTTGTGATGCGGGACAAGATATCAATTTCATAATTAAAAAGTGAATAAATAAATAGCTGCTCAAAGGAGACACCAGAATATGTTGTGCTAGCCAAGCCTCCCCAGCCAATATCATTTCTTACCTTCCTGGGTCATGAAATCATCTTCAGCAAAGTTATTGAAATTGCCACACAGTCCGCAGGTCTTATTATAGTGCTTGTCTGCAAGGATTAAATGAATGTTCCCACTGATGTCAACCTTTGCCACAAAGCCATGCTCTTCACTTGATAATTTAAAATAGCCCATCTCAATTTCTATAAAGACTCCATTGAAGGCATATGGTATTGAAATTCTGTTGGGAGAGAAAATAAAGATTCTTTACTGCCAGATGTCAAAAATAATACATTCATTTCAAGTCTAAGGTGATATCTTCAATCCTATGACCATTTTACCTTTTGTCACCCTGAGTCACAGTGCCGTTGAAAAATAAATGAACATCAAAATATCCCCCAAGGTATACAGAAAGACCATTTATTTTTCCATTCTGGTAGTCACCTGTAAAGAAACAAGAGGTTAAAGGATTTCTCCTAAAATCATCTGTTTGCTGATCTTTTAAAGAAGTTTAAGCAAATGTTCAGGTCACCTTACCCAGCACCTTCTTAGTGGTTGAGTTTGCATGTCATGCTAAGCCACTCTGTACATAACCCACCATGGCTTAACTATTTGCTGGTTTTCCTCCTCATTCTCCCTCAGTTCTCAGGCAAGCTCTCCCAGATATGTGACAGTGATCCTTATTGCCTTTATTCCTACATCAGCATCCCTTCTACACTTGGTAGGCTGGATTGGCTCACTACTGAAAGAAACTCCACTCCCTATCCCAACCCTCACCCTCTACATCAGCTCACCAAATAGAATTAATGATCCTTAGCATAAATGCAATAATGTGTTGGCCAGTTTTCCCCCCACCCCATGAACTTTTGCTGTTGTGCAAGAATGCAACTGTCTTTCTCTGCTGTTCAACCAAGCATTTGCTATAGTCCTACCTTCCACTTAAGCACTTCTACTTCTAGCTAGCAAAATAGATCTTTGTAATGTTTCACATTGCACTAAAGTAAGTACACTGCCTTCTAATGTAAGAATACCTGTTACTTTTAGCTCCTCTTCTCTCCCTGCCTGTCACTTCCCTCCACTGCTAGCTGTCACATTTCATAAGGGTTACAGACCAGGGAGCAGGATGGAGAAAGATATAGAAACATCACAGAAAAGCAGTAACAAGGGGAGGGAAGAGGATTCTGGAAATATCAAGGCAGGGTACCTGCCCCTTTAAAGGAGGCAGTAGTCCAACCAGTCCTAAAGAAGGCATCCCTGGATCCAGAAATGGCCACTAATTATAGACCGGTGGCCAACATCCCGTTTCTGGGCAAGGTGTTGGAGAGGGTGGTGGCGGGACAACTCCAAGCACTCTTGGATGAAACTGATTATCTGGACCCATTTCAGTCTGTCTTCAGACCCAGGTATGGTACTTCAATCCAGACAAGACAGAGGTCTTGTTGGTAGGCAGTTCGGGTTTGGGGAAGGGGACCTTGACCTGGTCCTGAATGGGGTTGCACTCCCTCTAAAGGACAAGGTCCACAGCTTGGGAGTGCTCCTCAATCCAGAGCTTTCGCTAGAGGCTACCCATTGAAGTCTGGGCCCAATTCAAGGTGTTGGTTATCACCTATAAAGCCCTTAACGACTTGGGTCCTGGTTACCTAAAGGAGCGCTTACGTTCATATGTGCCCTCCCACCCCTTGAAATTGGTGGCAGAGGCCCTTCTCTGCAAGCCCTCCGTGAAGGACATTAGGAGGGTGAGTACCCAGAGGAGGGTTTTCTCTGCGATGGTGCCCAACCTATGGAATGCACTCCCCAGAGAGGTCCGCCTGGCGCCATCGTTATTTGCTATTCGGCGCCAGGCCAAGACCTTTTTATTTAAATGGCATTTTAATTGTTGATTTTATGTATTGATTTTAACAACTTTGGCCAGGATGTCTCCAATTGCATTTTATTGTATTAATGATATTTATTTATTTGTAAGCCACCCCGAGGCTTAGGCGAATGGGGCAGCATATAAGTTTGCTAAATAAATAAATAAATAAATAAATAAGGCAGTTGTCATTTGTTCCTACACACTTCTGAAGGCCCCCAATATAATAATCATTTTTAAAATTTGCAGTTGCATACAATTCCCTTCTGTTATCCTTTCTTCATTATTTTTTAAGAATGGGGTAAAGGATACTGAGAAAAAAATGCAGCAGAGATGGAGGCAGAGTGAGTGAGCATGCAAGGAGGAGCAGAGGGTTTTGCTGCTCTGGGTAGGTGGCTCTCTAGCCATTTGCAGTAACTCATGATAAACTCGCCCTGCTAGGATTGGATGACAGCAAACCACAATGGCTATGAGCAATCATTAAGTAAGCTGTGGATTTTTCATGGCTCATGGAAAATAAGCCACTCTGCAGAAACCATGCTGGGTTTGCACAACACAACAACCCACCACAGCTAATCACTCCTGGAAGTTTGTCATAATGTGTGAACCAGGTCAGCATGTCAACACGTTTAATTTAAACTTGTCATTTCCTTGCAAGTTATAGTTACAGAATGACCAGTTTTATGAACAATGATACGGATATGAAAGAAAGTCTTCTGCTTTTGCCTGCTGTGTATATCATGGGTCTTTTAGCCCTTCAGAATCATGAAAAATGTCTGCCTTCTACAGGAAGGAAATACAGCTACGGCTCCTCTCATATTTAAAATATTATCCACATATCAGCAAAGACACAATGAGGTGCCTGAGACCACTCTTTGCAAGTGTTCTAATAGGTTTCACTTTATTTAATTCAATAAATACTTTAATTTATTTTAATAATTATTAAATCTTCATTAAATATTAATCATTTTAATATAGATTTAAAATAATCAATTGTACAGCGATTAACTATTGATATCTAAAACAAGTTAAATATGGTTTTCATAATTGTGTTACACAATGGAATGGTGTTTGGGGATCCATTATATCACTAAACCTGAGTAAATGGAATCATGTCATTGTCAGTAAGGCTTTATTATTTTGAAACACGTTTGCACTATTTAGACACCTTCTGTTGCCTCCATCTACTTCTACCACCACCTGCTTTCCCACTTCATGGTGCTACCTGAAACAAGTTGCTTCATAGCAACCATGCAACATCACAGTTCTGGCTTTTACCTGTATCGATGTACATTAATATTTTTTTTAAAAAAAATCCAGAGAATAAGGCACTAAGCTGTTACAAACATTAACATAAATTGATACCTGGTTATCCCTTTAAGTGGACAGTGGGCATTATTGCATTAAGGAAAGGTTGCAGATAATAGCTTAAACTTACCCAAGAGTGAGAAGGATCTCTTGTGACAATCTCCAGCAAGCAGGTAACTGCAGTCACCAGCAAAGTCATACAAAGATTCATCAAATGTTTTAATATGGCCATCTCCAAAAAAGCTACAGTGCACAGAAGACTGAGCAACTTCTTTTCCTTCTACAAGACAATGATTTGTTGATATAGAATGTCCAAAAACACACATCTAATCTAAAAATCAGGACATTTCTAGGTATTTCCATTTAACTGCTGTAAACTACATCTGCAGGAATAGAGCAGAAACCTGAAGCACTTTGGCACATGTCATATGCACATATGCAGCTAAAAATCTTTTTAAAGAGTCCAAATGTCTCCCTGTTAAGCAAAATGAAAAAAATCATTATGATGATTTTCATCTTGAAAATAAGTTGAAAGATATGAAAAGTTAACAAGAGAGAGTGCATAATGCTGGATTGTACAAGTAAATGGTCTCTGTGCCCTAGATTTCAGGTGCCATCTGTAATAAGGAACAGAAGGAGCAGAAACAACTTGCCATAGTTGCTTAAAGAGCGAAGTTGCTTTATGCATTCATACCAATGAATTCTATGCTAGGGAGAAAAGAATCCATGCTTAGGAAAAGGATAAAACTGTATATTTTTGCAAATGTGTGCTCTGAGTATTTGATGCCATAGACACTTCCCTCTTGTTTCAGATCAGCATCTGAAGCAAATCAGAAGAGATAGGGTAAGGAGGTCCATGAATGGCAGGGTCAGTTGATAAAACAGTGCAGAATGGGAATTACAGACTCTCATCCTTACCTGGTGTCAGGACAGCCAGGGTTAACAGAAATGCCAAGACTCTGCAGCCTATCATCTATGTAATAAACAAAGATACATTATTAGAACAATTTTTACTTGAATATGTTAACCTGCAGAGAATACAGTCAAAATAATTTTGTCTAACAATGCAAACCTTTTGTGTATTATAATGAGGTTGGGCAATGGAGAAGTTCAGCACAAGCATCAGCTGTTCCCATTGTAATTACTGATCATTTAGATAGATAGGCAATATAATTGTATGCATGTGAAGTAGAAGTTCCACTATTCTCTACACTAGTCAGACCTCACCTGGAGTATTGTGTCCAGTTCTGGGCACTTAAGCTTTAAAGAGATGCAGAAAAGTTATAAAGGGTGCAGAGCAGGGCAACAAGGATGATTCAGGGACTGAAGGTAAAGCCCTATGAGGAAAGACTGAGAGAGCCAGGTATGTTCAGCCTCAGGAAGAGAAGACTGAGGAGAGATATGATAGCACTCTACAAGCTCTTGAAAGGCTGTCACAAAGAGGAAGGACAACATCTCTTCTTGTTCATTCCAGAGTGCAGAATACGGAATAATGCACTTAAGTTGACCAGAAACCAGATCTAGACTAGACACCAGGAAGAATTTCCTGGCTGTCAGACCAGTACAACAATGAAACCTATTACCTGGGGAAGTTGTGGGCTCTCCCTGGCTGGAGACATTCAACAAGCATCTGGACCAGTCATCTGAATGGAATGGTGTAACTTAGTGTCCTGCAATAGCAGGTAGTTGGACCTGAAGGCCAATGGAATTTATTTATCCTCTTCAGTCCCCATCCCACTATGTTTACCTTACCTCTTAATTTAAGAGATTGGCATATTGATTTGTGCTAATTGTTTGGACCCTCATTCATAATGTCATGCATGAATTGGATTCTGTCCTTCAACCCCCAAACAATATTCCAGTTACATTTAGTGGGAGAAATAACCCATTTCAATGTGTTGAGGGACATGAGTTATAGAAGATGTGTATTTGCATATTTTTGCAGCACATGACCAGCCATCTTCAACACCACGGTGTCACACAAAACACATAAAACAAGTTTTTGAGTGTAACATCAAGTTACCTCATTATACTAGCTTCAACAGATTGATGGTCATATCTCCACAGGCGTCTATGGGCTCCACACAGATATTGTATTCCCTTGAAAAATGTTTTGTCTTGATTACACAGTCCCAGCCTATGCAACTTAGAGTATGCATGTGTCATCCCTTTTGTACATGGGACTTCCAACATATGAAGCTTGGACATGCTAAGGGACTGAGATCAGTGGCCATGATCCTGATCCCCATGCACATATGTGTACCTGCACAGGGCTTTTAAAACCAGATAATATGTCTATTCCAAAGAATATACCACAACAAAAATGGCAAGAAAAATGCTGCCTAATGGTCAAAGTAAACTCTAGAACTAATTTTCTAATATCAGAAATAAATGGAAATCATAGTCTTTATACACAAAAACCCACTGTTAGGTGCCCTCCTTTCCTGCCTGTCTTTATTTCAGAAGTATGGGGATGAGGGAATTACTGACTAGGTTCAGACAACCCACTGTCACTCATTGTGGTTATGATCGTGATGCCCATGGACACCAGACTGTATACAGAATCTTCACTTGGGAATTGTTGTACAGTGGTACCTCGGCTCACGAACACCTCAGTTCACGACCAAATCGGGTTGTGAACAAAAATTTCATAAAAATTTTGACTCAGGCCGCGAACTCCACATTGGGTGGCGACTGTGATTGTGCTGGAGGCGGCGGAGTGGGGAGGGGGGAGGTGGCCGAGATTGCACCCATCTTTCCTGCAGGAGTACAACCCCGATCTTGGCCATCTCCCACCCAGCACGATTGCACCCGTCTTCCCCCCCCCCCATGCCTGCATTCGTACTCATCTCTCCCCACCCCAGCGCACCCACAATTGCTTCCGTCTACCCCCGCCCCCCCCCCCCGTGCGCTGGGACGACAGGCACATGCAGAGATGACGGGTGTGATCGCGGTCATGCTGGGGTGGCAGGGAGACAGCTGCGCTTGTGCTTTGGGGGGTGGGGGGGACATGGCCTGGATCTTTTTTGTTCTTGGCACTTTGGAGGATTAACCTTATTTACATTGAACCTTATGGAGAAATTTAACTTGGCTCATTACCAATTTGGGTCACAGCCAGAGTCCTGGAATGGATTAAGATCGTGAGCCAAGGTACCACTGTATTATGCTAACCTGGTGAGCATGAGTTCTTAAACTCTTGCATAACCCTGAAACAGAGAATGGGTCATGTGAGCATTGTTTCATCCTTGCATATCTCATGCTCACTGGGTTAACATGATACAACCAACCCCTCAACTGGGGACTGCCTCTTTAAAATGGTGGACACATGTACCCTTCATGTACCACATGCTCAATGTAGGTTAAATAATCTACAGTCATAAAAATAGACCCAGTGTTCAAGCCAATTAAACATTAAATAAGCTGTTTAATGTTAGCTTAAAGATAATCCATGAAAGAATTCTGGAAAAAATATAAATCAATGTAGATTATGAGTTTCTTCATAGCAGGAAAATAATAAGACACAGATAATACTACACAGATATAAATCTTCGTGGCTTTGGATAAGGGAACCTAAACTATACATTTCAATGATTTCAGCCCTCAACTTTATAGAACAACTTCCCACAAGTCCAATTATGCAAGACTGAAAGATTGATCCAATTTACTGCATACATGGAAAGTAAAATGAGTATTTTCAACAGCATATATAATTCACTGATTACACACAAAATACACAGAAAAATGGCTAATAGCATCACAACCAGACCCTAAATGATAGGATACAACTGGACTTTGTTCCATGGATGTCATGAAGAGGAGTTGCCAGGAGACACACAAGAAGTTTTCAAAACCAGCCAGCACAAAGTTCTAAGAATGATTTAGCTTTGGAATACTGTTAATGAGTAGATCTCAAAAGGATCAATGAAATTTGATGGACAGGCCCCTATAGTCAATATTTTAGAAACTGGCATAGAAATATTTTTGGTGTCTAGTCTAATATAAAAGTCAAAATACAGTATAAAATGAGAACTAGAAATTAAGGGCATAATCAACTGGAGTATATCCTGTTTTGTGTCACATATCAGCACAACATATTCTGAACTCAGTGTATCCTCACAACCACCCCATGGGATATGGCAGGCGAAGAAGATGGAGATTTTTCCAAGACCTCTCAATTAACATCATTAACAGGTCTTTAACATCACAATACCTTATGGAGTTTGCAGTCACACTGGATTTCTTCACAGGTGCCCTATGGGAATGTATAGGAGATACTTTTTGCATCAGGGGCATTCTAGAATCCTTCCATCTTCACGCAATCATGCTCTACTTCATGTTTTAATCTGTACTTTCTTGTGGCTTTTGCCCAGTTTCCATTGACTGTCTATTTCAAATAAAATCTTAACAACTCAAATTACAGACAAATACAAGAGTTTTCCCCTTTGTTTGGCATCTGTCATAAATGCCTTCTTTACTTTTATAAAGGGTTCCTTTAAATAGTTCTAAACTACTGATCTGCATTTAAAGGAATAATACAGATACAGAGAGCTTTGGTTACAGGAGGTATTGAAATGAAATGTAGTAATAAATAATAATACCTTGACTTCTGTACAAACAGTTCAGTTGCCCATCAACAACCAGCTTCTGTAATGGTCAGAGCCAGTCCTGAAGGTTCTTCAGTGTCTTCTCCTTCAGAAGGCTATACTGGAATGGTCTGAGTTGCCTATTTCTTTCTGTTATATAAGCCAGGAATCCTTGTTTACTAAAGGGGCAAGATAATGGGTTAGAGTTGCTTCCGCCCAATTCTTCACACAATAGTGTGATCAGGAAAATCAGTTGCCTTAATGGATAAGAAGGAACAATTAAGGGAAGTCATACTAAATGCTTTTACGGGACAGATAAACCTTTGAAATGTTATGTGTATGTGTGCTTGCGTGCATAAAGTTTTAAGAGACAGGGAAATAAAGTTTGTTTATGTACAGCAAATAAGACATACATGCCAATTTTTAAAAGGGTAAGGGAGATAAGGAATTGGCTATACTGGGAAACAATACTGTCCTGAATTCTGTCAACAGTAATGTTGCATGCTCCGTGTAATAAAAGAAATACCCCTGATTTCTTTGCGGCCAACATTCTTCCTAGAAAATTAAAACAGAATTAAGTCTAATTGACATGATACTACTACAGCTTGCCAGTATTCTTTGTGCCATTGGCTAACAAAATACAAAATGTGCAACTTTTTTGTAGACATTAAGCTAATCCAGCACAATCTAGTCTTGTAGCAGCCCTTTAGAGTTTCTGGCAGAGCTCTTTCCCAGTTCTGCTGCCTGAGATCCTTTTAAATTGAAAAATTAGCAAAATCAGAGACTACCAAATGAACCAAGGACCTAAGTCACTTTTCCCTAACTGCTGAATCCCACCCCACCTGTTTCTGAGGAAGCTCTTGGAATTTCACCAATTCAGGCTGGCTTACCTGTGGTTAATTTTCATGCAATAAATGCATTGTGTACTCAGGCTTTTAGTGGCTTATCCAGAAAATCAATGAATTTCAGATCTGGGAGAAAAACCCAAATTTTTGGGACACTTTTCAAAAACTCTGAGCAGATTTTATTAGTACTACCAGTGATTGCATGCAATTGGTTTCCTCACTAGAAAAAGTGCTAGCCTGAATACACAGTTATCCCACAGGGATTCTACAGTCAGAAGTTGTGAAGAATGATCTTTTGGCACACAATTTTAAGTATAAGGATGGCTGGCTGCAGGGACATTGCTCTTTTAATGTCAACATGAAGTTGCTGGTGAAGCCATTAGGAGATTTGGGGCAAAGTGCCATCTGTTACTCTGTGACATCAGAATCAGGGGAAATTATGCTGGTTTTGAACCAATGTCTGGTTGCAGTGATGGGCTGGATGAGAACCAACAAACAGACTGAACTCTCAAAAGTTATGGATTCTTTCGGCAGGTGATTCCAAATTTGGAAAATACAATTTAATTTATTGAATACTGTTCTATACTATCCAACAGTCAAAACTTTATTGGGAGTTCACAAAGTAAATTTTTTAAAAAATTAAAAGCCAACTTCATTTTAAGATCTAAAGTTATAATAAAATGTTTAAAACAGCCAGGACTAAACTGGGGATTTTGCCTGTCCCAGATGGGGGTCCACTTTTTCAAAAGAACAAGTACATAGCCTGGTGATGGCCTGGACAAGGGGCTTCTGTGAAAAGGAGCACCCATTGCAAACTCAGGTTTCTATATCAGGTGTGCCATTTGCTGGAAAAGGATAACCTGGCCATTGTGTTCCATGCATTGGTAACCTCACATTTAGA